CAGGAGTAAACCTGACTAAATACAAAATATATTAGTTCTAAAACAGTCATGTTTACACAAGACTTAACACATGATCCTTTTCCACTGTAACTTGAGTCCAAGGTCCTGAGAGCCCCTATTTTCTGACTCACCAACAGAGAAGACAACTTTTTGTTTCTTTCCAGCAAGAAACATGGTTAATTGCCAACTAGTGGACTCTGTCTAAAAATTGAGCGAATCTTGATTCATCTGAGAACAATACAGTCTTCCAAAAGTCCAGAGGCTTGGTCATCATATCACTTGCCCACTTCTTTCGTCTGACTATGTTGACAGGTCTTAATAAGGGCTTCCGTCTAGCTGCTCTGCAACAATAACCCAATCTGTGGAGAATCCGTTGAACAGATTTTGGGCTCATCCCACCAACTTTGGCCACTTCTGCAGTCGTTAAACTGGGATCCATTTCGATGCTCCGCTTGACAGCCCTCTTTGTCCTCTCCAATGGACCAGGACAACCCGGACGCTGCTCAGTCGTTTCCTTGCCGTGTTTCCTGAACTGCACGATTATTCTGTTGACTGTTGAAAGCGGGATTCCCAAATTCTGCAAAATTTGCCACTTAACTTATTCCACAATCTGCTTGACCAACTATCCTTCCTCTAACAAAATCTGACAATTCGAGAGAACCTTGAGTTCTAGGCATGTTGTAGCACAAGATAATTAGTGTGCGGACCATTTTCATTTATATAGTGCTTTGTGAACACAAATTAGTTAGCATAAATCAGTTAAATGACGAAAAATTAGGTGTCTATTTACTTGTGACCACTCAGTGTACATATATATAAATAAAATGATTTCAAATCACAGATACACATTGGACCTTAATATTTATGTTCTAAACAAATGTAAATGTTTCATAAGAAAAGTAAAGACAACAAAAGCAACAAGAATCACCAACATTCTTGTTTCCTAATGTTTAAATTTATTTTTGAAAAGTTTGATTTACTATATCAAATGCATGTCTATTAAAATCTTACACTTGGTTACTAAATAATATAATTTTTCTTGTATAATTTTTAATGCAGCAGTTCTGAATCTCTGCTGAGCCCCTTCATTACTCTCTGTAGGGTCTTGATCAATCTGACCAACCTTGTAACCATGAAACTATACATAATTAAATACGCATGTCCACAAAATTTGGCCAGCTTTTAGTAAACATTCAAAGTCTGTTGAATACAAAAGAAATTCAGATGTCTTAGTAAAGTATTTATACTAAAACTTTGTCAGGGATCGAAATATTACATTCCTCCCTTCCCTAGGAATTTAACTTTGCTTGAGGAATTTCATCTTTATAGCTGGCTTTCCTGATCAGGAATGCATGGTCCATCTGTATTCCTTTAGTTATGACCAATGAAAGTGAACATATTGTATGGATTAAATAAATAAAAAATATCATGAGGAAATTCAACTTTACAAGAGGGAATGTAATCTTCCTGATTTTCATGCTAATAATAAAAATATTTCTTCTTATGGTTTTCATATTTCATTTCCATAATATCTAGAGCAGTATTTTTCAAACAGTGGTTTGCGACCCCTAGGGGTTCACGAGAAGAAGATTTCAAGGGGATTCATGAGCTGATTGCACTCAGACAACAATTTTTTCAAATTCTAGAGATACACATATCACCTTAGTTATGAACTATGATGAACTGCACCAAGAAACATCAAGAACTTTTTCATCTTTGTAGAAATAATAGGGAGGTTGCGATGACCATACCACAGATGTGGGCGTCATCTGGTAAATTTCGCTAAGAAACCCTAATATAGATCCTCCTAAAGTAAGGTCAAAAGTGTTTTTTCAGTCAAACTTTATATTTTATCATTTGCTTTGTCTTTCTTATCACTAACTGTAGAAAAATCATCAACACTGTTTTTTTGCCTGTCACTGTACCAACTAAGAGCATAAAAAACAATAAATCATAGCAAGAGCATATTATGTCTTTGCAGTCAGAAGTTCACATAATAGCTCATGATTCAAAATGAGTTTGTCTCAAATTTCATTTATGGGTGCACACACAAGGTAGTAGTATAATTTCATGTTCTATTTTAGAGAAGTTTTAATCAGATAAAATAAAAAGTTTATAATTTTTTAGTTTGGTTACTTTTCTTTAAAACTACACATGAAAAAACAGAAAATTTAGTACTTCTGCATTGAGGCCTTTTGTGTTTCGATGCCATGGTTCTGCAATCTTACTTTTTTATTACTATTTTGGTTGTTCAAAAAATACATCATGTAACTTTAACTCTCTTGCTACAAACTCAGTCGATCTGACCAACCTTGTGACCATTTTGTTCTTGTTATAGTTTCCATATTTTAACTTATTATACACTTTGTGTATCTTCACAAAATTTGGCAGACTTTTAGTAAACATTACAAGTCTTTTGTACAAAAATAATCAGATTTTTTAATGAAGTATTTTTTAATAAATATTTGTACATGACTATAGATAGTGTCTCGATATACTAGACCAAGTGCTAAGTGATTTCCACGTTAAGATTAAAAATGCTTTTCTTTATCTAGGGAACCTCAAATTTCATCTCATTCAGCACATAATCTGTAAAACCTAAATAAATTTCCAATGATATTTTCCAGTAAAACTTTATATTAATTTCTCTACCCTAAATTTATACAGGGTTGGTAAATCTGACTGACCTTGTAACTACAAAAAAAAAAAAAATTTTTCTTTCTAAAATGACTTCAATTTGTAATATGAAACTATATTTGTTTATCCTAAATAGCTTTACACTCATAACAGTATACAATTATTTATATACATTTATTTTATTGCCCTTTGAACCCCATCTAACAACTATTCATGCCATTATAAGTTGTAAATCACCTGGAAAATATGCAGCTCACATTATGCTATTGAAATACATTACACAGGTTCATACCTCATGAAAAAACTTTATATATATTTTATTTCACCTAATCTAACCTTAACTAACATAAAAAGTTTCTTACTTTTACATTTTAGTTACTTTTGTAATAATAAACAAATACTACACATGAAAAACAAGAAAAAAGTACATACCTGGCTTTCCTTTTTTTTTTTGCTGTCAACTGTCAATAACACTTAAACCTACTTTTTGATACTAATGCTAGTACTGCACTAAATTTTTTTTATTTAATTACATAATGAACCAAAGAACACAGCATAATAACACACAAAAAGCAGTCAATATCATATAAATATTACAATTGATGTGTTTCCAGTGGGAATCAAACTTGAACTGAAAAAGAAATTAAAAATTATTATTACAGAAAACAATGTAATATAATATATCATTTGATAGATAAAAACCTTGGCTTTCTATTGGTTATAAATAATATAGTATTGAACAGCAGAGAGAACTATTAGCAATTTCTGAAGGAGAGGATGTGACAAATGGGCATGGAAAGAGGTGTCTGGTTGTCTATTTCATGTCCAAATAAGATTGAAGGCTATAAAAATTATGTACTGCTTGAACAATGTAATTTACGTTAAATTTTGTACTTCTTAGAGGGGTTGTAAATAAATTGGAGAAGAGGGGATGCTTAAACAGCAAATGTCACAATTCTCATACTGAGGAAAATTCTAGATTTTCTTTTTTAATAGTCTTATAAAAGTAAGAACTTAAAACTTATATACTATTAAAATATGGATTATAATATGTGCAGAAAAAAATGTCTGTAATTTTCTAACTAAGCTATAAATATTGTTATAAGAACAAGTTAACTGCAGATATTTGTCTTTTTTTAGTACTGTAACTTTTAAATTTTAAATAGGTTAAACAATTTTTGTTACTACTCAGAGCAATAATATTACTAAACACAAATCAAGCTTTTTCTTATCAATCTTATCTCTTTCATCCACAAACAATGTTAATATTTATGTAAATTTTGGTACGCTCTTTCCATTAGTTATAAACATGTCAAACAAACAACTGCACACAAGTAAATAATTGGCTTGATAAGCATGAAAAGATTGGAGGGGCTACTCTAGTAGGTTTGACAAATTTATTGATATCTCATCAAATCAAATGGTAGCAGGTTCAAATTTCATATTCTTGCTATTATGCTATTATTTGTGTTTCTTATTGGTTTTAAACCTCAGAACTCTATTTCTTATGTTAGGAATATTGCAGTGTAAACTTGACACATGATATAAAATAGTCAAGACTGAGAATTTCTTTAATATTTCTTTTTGAAATTAAATGCTAAATAATATTAAAATTTGAATCATAAACTAAGTTTTAATGCAAATTTTATTGAAATAAATTGTCAATAAAGTTGTTTAATTAAATTTGCATGTAACTCTTTAAAATGTAATGACATGCTCACTTTGACCCAGCTAGATGCATAGGGTTAAGCACAATAATATTTCCTCTTGTCTCCACTTCCTCAAATCTGAGAATACACACTAAAAATATATGAATTTTCTCACTCCCTGTTATCAGCCACCTTAAAATTTTAGTTGTCTTGGGTGGCAGTTCAAAGATATCCTGTTCCACATACAGCAATACTGTGCATCCCATGGGAGAGCACACCTCAAGGGTTAGGAACAATTACCTTAAATGTAGATTAAAATTGCAAAGTATACTTATTTCCTTTTTTACATAAGTAAAATAAGTTTTCCTTCAAAATTTTTATAGAAAGTATGATACTTACATTTTGGTCTCATAATCCCTTGAAGCTTTGTCAAATGGTTTTTTGAGATCCTAAAAAACAAGAATGATTTTAGATTACATATACATACAAAAATAAAAAATGAAATCTGACATAAATGTAAGAATGAAAAGTAAACATGCAGAGTATTAAAGTAACAAGGTAATAAAACAAACTTACCCCTTTCACTTCTTTGAGGTCTCCTTTCAGTAGTGTCTCTAAAGGAAACATGATGATGTTGTTCATGTTCTGCATCTGTTTAAGAATTTTTCTATTATAAGAACTGACTAATAAATAATGATGGCTGGAGACGGCTTAAATGGGTAATGAAGAAAAACTTTAATATAAGTTTAACATGACAGCA